CCAGGTCTGGGACTTGAACCACAGTTGACCATGTGGGAATCCAGCACCCTTAACCACATACCACCTGATCCTGCTGGCCCCGCACAGTCTATATTGAAAACCACCAGAACAACTAATGATAAATAAACAAAGCTTCCCATGATACAAAGCAACATTTATCAACAGAAGGAAACAAAGAGCTCTAAGGGAAAGTTCAGGGATTCCCAGAGAAGGCCCTGAGACTAGGATGCTAGCTCCCTGCAGGCTGTCTTTGCTTTGTTCACAGCTATATCCCCAATACCTAGAACAGTGCTTGGTGCATATAGGTTCTTAATAAATGTTTGGTAAATGAATGAATGAATGGTCTAAGACCCCCAAAAGATCTTTAAAAGATAAACGTCATTCCATCCCACTCACTTAATGCTTTATATGGCTTGTGACTTCTTGACTCCATTTTTATAAAAATACTACAAATCATCAGCCACCTCTGAAGAATCAAAATTATTTACAATATAGAAACAGGCACCAACGGTGGATAGCTAGAGTATGGTGGAATAAGCACTAGACCTAGGAGTCAGAAAAACTGGGTTATCTCTGCATTTTGCTCCTTCTCAGTTGTGGGACTGGAAACTAATCAAGTCTCAATCCAACTAATTAAATTAATCAAATGTAATTCAACTAACAAAGTTTAAACTTCCTGATTTCAGCAAAATATTATGATAATAAACACTAGCTAAGGCCATACTGAGCACTAGACACATATTTACTTCTCAAAAATACCCTATGAGGACTCCAAGGCACAAAGAGCTTTAAGTAATGTATCCATACAACTAGTAAAATCAAGCTGGCTAAAGAGACCATGCTCCTACCAATACACTGTATTTTCTCTATAAAACAAGGTAATGATCATTTTCTCAGAAAGTGATTGTTGCCTGGATGAAGAAAGCCAAAGGCGTTTACTGGTCTTTTATTAAATCCAAAGTAAACAGGACTTGGCAAATGTGGCTACTTCTTCAAAAGTCACCATGATTGGGAGAATGAGAGGGAACAGCAATAACCTCAATGTGGTATTGTGGCTGCACTTGTGTACTTTGCTGATCCCTGCCTTGTATTATCTTTCTCTATTCTATTACTCAAAACCGACTAACCTGTGAGGTCAAAAGAGGACATAACATCAAGATTCCAATACTACAAATAAAAACAGTATCTCAGAAAAGTCAGGAGATTGGGCATCATCACATGGCAAATTATTTGTAGAATAAGCACACAGAATTCCTAAAATCCAAGCTGGCCTCTTCCTAGTGCTATCCCACAGACAGGGTACCCATCTGGATAATTTGCCAATGTGGCTGCCAGTCCAATATGAAAAAGACCATTTTGGCCACAAGGGAGAGTAGCTAAGCTGCTCATTTCTTCTGAAAGAAAAATCTATCACCCATACTGTGCAAGCTCCACAATGGGACATTTACTCAACCAGGAACCCTATATATGATGCTGTCTGGCAGGGGGTTTGGGTGGGGGGCTAGGAAGGGAGTATGCAGAAATAGACTCCCAGTTATGATGCTTACACCTGCCCCATCAAAAGGTAGAGGACAGAGCTTCCTGGAAACAGCCCACTGGCTCTCACTATGGCATATCTATCCCTAGAGTCTTAGGACTTCCTCTCATGCTTATAAAAGTCTCTCTATATATATATCTCTCTTTTTTTAATGTCATTTTCAGCAAGCAACCTATGATGACCATGGTCTAATTCTAATACACATCTATTAAACTGCTCTCTGTTTTCTCCTCTCTTTTTACAGACTGATCCAGAACACCAAAAACCTGGTATATATTGAGCCTGAAGCATTTACAAATCTCCCCCGGTTAAAATACCTGTGAGGAATTCTTATTTTTAAGGAATTGGAAGGGAAAGATTTTCATCTGATGAAAATTAAAATAACTAAAATATTGGGAAGAATGTTTTTAACCATATATGAGGGAACTTTAGAAAGTTCATAGAAAATGAAATTCAAGTACAAGTTCATTTGGTGACAAAACTTTTTAAATCCATGCATTTTTTCATTATACATATTTTCCATGAACATTTGGAAGACCCCTACACCTAGTATTATTACAGTTCTTTCTCAACCTTCTGATTTAAATTTAATTTAAATTTAATCTTGTCAGTCATCAGTGCTTTCTCATTTGTTTCAGTAGTTCCCAACATTTTCTCTGTCTCAAGCATCTGAGAAGAACATTACTCCTTTGCAGTGAATTTCAAAGTAGATGGCAG